TTGTGCAAAATAAGAAAAAAAGATGACTCCCTGGATGAATTTCCCCAGTGCCCACAACAGAGCTTACCTTTTGCCTCAGCACCTTGGCTAGTATTTTTCCCACCACCAGCGGCACCGCTTTACTGGGTTTCTGACACAAGCCCAGAAGATTAAAGGATTCCTGAAACCCAGACCAGCTAGATCTCACCTTGCAGGAACAAACGGAGCATCTGTCCTCCCTCAGGGTCCACACCTGCCCGTTCCGCTTGAAGCCGCCTTCATGGGGACAGTCTCCAGTGCAAGATGGTCCAGACGGACAAAGGCAATCAAACCCTCCTGCGAGGTTCACACAGGCTGAATCGTTCCAACAGGTGTGGGTCTTTAAGGCACACTCATCGATATCTGCAAAACAGCAGATTTATAATGCTTTGGACATATTTTTTCATGGGGCAAATTTTATTTCTGTATTAAGTAAATACTGCTCATCTGCCTTGCTGGTGGAAAAGGGCGCCTTTTTTCTAACATCTCCCATATTTACTTGCTAGACATTAAACACTAATTTATTTAATTTTTTTTAGGTTATTCTTCAGTGTTTGTTTTGATTCCACCAAGAATTCCTAAACTATCTCCAGCAGGCTTAATTGTAAATGCCAAGTCTGACCTACCTAGTGGAACCGTAAATCAATGATGAACTCAAACCTTCAGACAAAGGTGTGTAGAGATTTCACAGCGACTGGAAACTAGTGGACAAGTAGAATGACTTTCTGTCAGTTAGACCACTCTCTGTTCTGGACTCTGCACCAAAATAGAAGGGCACTACACTTCATTAGTTCCTAGCATGATCAGCTTTCCCATATTAAAAGCGTCAATTGTATCCTTTCCTATTGCTGGAAGGTATAAGTGAATTAAAACAAAAATAAGAAAAAAAGAAAGAAAATAAATCAGAAGCACTTTGTACATGAAAAAAGTCTTAGAACAAAGCTATGGAGGAAAAGTATGAGTTAGAAATGACACAAAGAAATAAGCAACAAAAGAAAAAACATTATACACTAGAGGAAAGTGAATTACAGTATCCCATTAAAATTGCTTTTGGAGGGTAAAAATTAATTATGCAATATGAACTTATCTATGGATTCTTTTTCTTTCAGTGAAAGCTGCGAAATTCCAAAGCACATGGGCATTGCTTTCAGAAAATAACTTTGGACTCTTCTTAAACAATATATTGACAGATTGTCCAGATAAAACACCAGTGCAGGAACAAGTGGACATGTGGCAGTGCCCTTGGATTTGACCAAATGCAAAATCAACCTGTCCAGCTGAGACAGGGGCCTGGGCCACCAGAAAATGGCTGTTTCTTTTCCTGCTCATAGCCCCAGAGGGACGCTGGAGGCAATCCCACCGCAGAAGGGCTCCGCTCCTGGGCTGACCTGTGGGACAGTCCTTTGTCAGAGATTTTCCAAACAGCCTGATAGCACAACTCAATTGCTCGTCACTCAGACTTCCCTAAAGATGGTGTATTTTGCTGCCCTGACAGTCTTAATTGCCAAAAAAGAACATTACTGCTCTAATGCACAGCTTAGCTCTGACTGAGTACTTGAAAGGTCCACTATCAGTGGTGGAAAAGGTGCTGAGCTAAGAGAAATTAAAACTTGTAGTTCATTGTTTATCAAGTGCCAGAGCATCACAGGAGGCAAAAACCACAAAGAGAGCTATGGATGAAGTGGGATGAAATGAGTTATACCCAAATAGCTATTATAAGCCTTAAAATATTCTTAAAAATACCCCATTTTCTTTTCAATAGACTTTGATTTGTATTTTATGTTGAAGACAAAGGTATAAATGAAGTATTCACTTTGTCTTTGGTGATTTCACCCAAGCATCGTCAACATTCTCTTCCCCACCGAATTAAGGGCTCTTTGAATAACATCTATATAGGATGCAGCAGGATCACAGTGCCGATTAGAAGGGTAGCTTTCAGAGTCCAAAACTAAAAGGATTTCACAGATTAATATAAAGCCATATTGCCTACAGAGTTCCATGTAATTGCTTTACTTATGACACAGAAATCTAATTCTGTTTCCATGTAATTTAACAGATTTATGGAAAGCCAGATGTTAGCAATTATAGAAACTAACATTATTCATATACTGAGTAGTACAGACCCGTTCACACTGCACAAAGCCAGCTTAATCTGTTATACACATCCAGAAGAGGAGAACACCCTATTTACATACTGCTACTGCTGTTCTCCATTTAGCACACATAAAAAGGATGCTCCCATTAAGAGACGGCCAAACTGGTAAATGGGAGATTCTTGACAAAGAAACCAATCAAGCAAAGCTGAGTAACATAGCATGAACATAAATTCCTAATTGCTACTCAGTTTGCCCAATTTTTTCGTTCTTTATGCAAATGATGGTTTCTTATTATTTTATGGCATTTATTATTTAAAAGTTTTAGTCATTAATCAAATATAAAAGGCTTGGATGCTGCACTCATTTCCCGCTGAACTTTTAATAGAGCTAATTTTCTGAGAACATCCCTTTGGCAGTTTTTTCTTGTCACTGATTGCATTTCTGAAAATCAGAACAAACAGCCAATGTTCCCAGTAACTTGGGGAAAAGAAGTTGTAAGCATAACATGTTTTTGTCCTTTTCACTCTTTCAGCCTCAAACCAGACTAGGGAGCTGGGGAGGGAAAAAAACCCAGGCAAAACCTCCCTTATTGTTAGCTCCCAGTTAGCTTAAGAAAGTATTTCAGTTTCATGGAGATCAAATTGACTCGCTTGTATCGACATGAGATCAGCATGTAGATGGCTATGCAAAACATGGAAGAAAATACCCAACATTTAGTGTGAAATTTCTCTTAACAACTGGAATCAATGTGTCTACTTAGGTGTTGAAAAATTAGCCTAGTTTAAAATTCTGAACATGTCCAAAACAATCTTCTAACGAATATGAAAACTGCATGACAAGACTCTTGCATGGAGATTATTTTTATATTATTCAAATTCTTGCTCAGCTCAAATTCCCCAGACTCCCCGCAGGTTTCGTTTCCTTTTTCACAACCGCTCTCAGAAGATTTGGGCCCAAAACAGGAACATTTAATGACAGGCAAGGCAAAACTATACATAAATTTTATTTCCCATTATAACAACGCTGAGTAAGAAGAAGAAGAAATGTTCATTTATAAATCAAGCAGCTTTGAAGAACAATGGACAAATACATATGTGAAATAGCAAGGAGATTCCACAGCTTTTCCCTGTATATAGCACAAGAACAAGATGTTTGTCTTGACTTCTGGGGGCATTAGTTCTTTCACGTACCCTGTCAACCTGTGAAAACAATCTCGTTTTCACACCTCGAATAGGACTTTGCAATTTCATTCATTATATGAATGAAAAACCTGCTAATTAACCCAAGTAAAAGAGGCTGAGCTTTACTTCTCCCACCCACACAGTTCCTTGTCAAGGAAAAGTGAGGATATAGTGGAAATGACCATAATCAGAAACTGCCTTGGAATGCTGGCCTTATGCTATTTTCTATTAACAACATCTAGCCAACAGCAACGTGATTGCTGCCGAGACATCCCACCTCAAACACTGCACAGGACCATCATAAAACTGGTCAACATCTTCACTCTTCAAACACTCCCAATTTGTGCTTCCTTAAACAAATGTACGGCAACAAGTACCCAGTCACATGTATGGTGGCCACGGTGCAGCTAGTCACATTTTGTAGATGGGAAAAGAAAGAAAACAAACCACCCAAGATGTGCTCATTTCCCAATATACTCTCAAAGTACATAAAGATAGCCTGGTAACACCGGCAGACAACAAATCAGAATCAAAATGGAATAGAATAATCTCCTGAGATGCAATTTCCTTTTCCATCCTTTTGGCTGTAATGAGAAGTAATTTGCTTCAGATATTACGAGAAGTCCCATGGCCACTGTATTTGAATGCATTTGAATGGGGCAGAAGACAAGCATGACTGTACATATCAACACAAGTTCATTAACTTGGTTTCACTGAAATTTTAAACCAATCCCCAGCTACTTCATTTCTTAGTTTTCAAGGCTATTCAGGTTTTAATGGTATGACTTTTCCACAGCACCTTAATAAATGTGTGAAGTAAGTCATGCAGTGACTGTAATATCATGATAAGCTGTTGCAGAAGAAAGAACCCTACTAATGTGCTAATTTTAACTGTTATGGTACATTAAACCATTACAGTAAAATGTTAATGTGAAAAATGTATGCTGGGCAATGTATGTACAAGTTAACTAAACACTGTTTTGACATACCATTTTTCACAGGCAACTTGTCACTTAATGTATTTGCCTTCTTTCTAAATCAAAGCAATTGGGACTCTGAAAAAAAAAAAATCACTAAACAGATTCATTTTTTAGTTAGAAAATATTTTATGATAGTGGTTTTATTCTATAGAGACATAACAGTCTATTAAAGAACACTGCACAGTAAATTAGATTCTGAATATAGGATTTACTAATGCTTTCTAGAAATATAGAAATGACTAAACACAATTACCTAAAAGACACGTAACGCAACTTTCTCTCAGAATACAAGAATCAGAATTTACTAAATGGAAAGTAAGCAAGACAATTTTTATTTTGCAGGATAAATCCACAGACAGAGACTCTAATATGATCAGCTTTAAGAAATTCTACGAGCAGAAGAAAGTCATAAAACAGCAGGTTGGAGCGTTGGTCTTGGATACTCTGTACCACACGCAAACCTTTCTGTCTATGCACCACTTCTCTAACAACAGATAGAAAAGCAATTCTCAGGCATATAGGAAGATTTTCAAAGCTTTTTGTTTGACGCATAAAGGGGCAAAATAAACACCAAACCTCCTTTTTCTCTTACTTTCTAAGCTATGTAACTGACAACACTGCAGCATAGTACGCAGTGTATGAAAGCTTCAGGAATTGATTTTAAACCCATTCAGACTTGACCCTCAAGCACTGCTGCACCCAACTTTTGTGGGAGACTAACACATGCAGAGTTTTCTCTCACAAGCTGCTGAGTCCTACCTTTTTCCAGCTTTTATTTCCCCACAACAGCTACTCTAACCCTGCAGCCAGGTCTAACTACGCAACCTTTCAGGATGAAGTACATGGTGAATCCTGTGGTTTTTTGGTGGGAGGAGGATCTGTGTCAAGCTTCCCTACAAAATCTGCACTGATTCTTTAAGAAACTAAAAAAATAACCAACAACTGACAGGGACTGCTGCCTTGGTTGTTTTTCCTTCTGTGCTTGCAAGCCACAATGTGGAGACTCAAAAACACAAAATATCATGAAAAAAAGAATTGGAATCAAGAACTCTGTTCTCTTTGAACAGCTCCCTGCAGACTGGAAGCATCTCACTTAAAGAGAGATG